TATATACATATAGGCACAATGAATAATGAGTTCAACATTTATTACAAAACTTTCCAAAATGAGGTATAAAGAAAACTGTTCGCGCGCTTCACAAATAAAGTGCTGTCAAGCTGTCAAAGGTTTTTGAAGTTTCATAAATCAGTCCGCGGCTCTTTGTCCTGCAGCGCCCCGGACCCCCTCCCGGACTCCGGTGGTCCTGTTCGGACTCTCGTCCCTGTCGCTCCCCCTCTCCAGCCCCGGCTCTCCGCCCTCCGCCGCCGACCCCTCCGCGCTGTGCGTCCGCAGGTGTTTGCTCAGGTGGTCGGAGCGCATGAAGCGCTTGTTGCAAACCGGACACTCGAACCTTTTCTCCCCGGTGTGCGTGCGCAGGTGACGCTGCAGCTCGTCGGAGCGCGTGAAGCGCTTGGCGCAGTGCAGCCAGTTGCAGATGAACGGCCGCTCCCCGGTGTGCCAGCGCAGGTGCGCCTTCAGGTGGGATGTCTTACCGTAAACTTTACCGCAGCCCGGGATGTGGCAGCTGTGAACCCCCCTCCGCTTGGGGCTCGAGCCCCCCAGGCCGAGCCTCTCCGCCTCCTGGCAGTTCGGACAGTCGCACGTGGCTCTGCCGGAGTAGCGCCGCGATGAGGGTCGGGAAGCGGCGGGGGGTCCAGCAGGAGGCGGCGCCGTGCCCTCGGAGTAGGGGGCTGGCACCGGAGGTCTGAAGCCGTCAAACAGGTGTTGTGAGGCGGGGAGCAGGTGCTGAGAGGGACCGGGGCTGAAGGCGGAGCTGTAGTCCCCGCTGTATCCGCCCAGAGATAACCCTGCTGGGGTCTGCGAGTCCACCCAGCCGGTGCTCATGTCCCACCAGGCAGGGGACCCGCTGCCCACCTCCACGGGCTTAAACCACGAGTCATACGCGTGCATCCTGGGGTAAATCCCCGCTAAGCTTTCCACAGAGGGGGGTAGTTTGGGCAGAAACACCTGGCGCTGAGCGGAGTCGCAGGTGTCTGGTGATGGCACCGCAGTCTGATAAAACTCGTTCCCTGCAGAGCTGGCGGCTGCGGTGAAGGCGCTGCAGGACTCCGTCAGTCCGGGCCCGCTGGTCCTGGAGGTCCCAGGAGAAACCGAGAAAGAGGCGAGGCAGGGACTCAGGCTGCTGGTCTGGGGACTCCTTCTCCACGGGTGGAAACCTTTGCCGAGTCCCGGTGCTCCGTCTGAGAGCGCAGGGGAGCAGGAGGAGGTGGGGTCTCCGATTCTGCTGCAGGTGGCGGCCAGCAGGGCCAGCGGGGTGCTGCCCAGCCGCGGCTCCTCCTGCGGGGGGAGCAAACACCAGTGAGGACCAAAAACAATCACAGTTCGAGTTGACCCGCAACTGAGACCTGAGTGACTCAAATACAAATGTTAAATTAAATAAAACTCACCCCTAGCAGTGCCGCCATGGACCGAACCGTGTTTCACCGAACAGCTGGTGTAAAGAGTTTCCTCTCCGCGGTCGAACCGGACTGAATCTGCTCGTCTCCGACTCTTTTACTAGCTCTAGCTCTTTTGAAGTGCCGCTGAGCGCGCGCGACGGCCAATCAGAGAGCAGCTGTCTCCGAACATCTGCGCGCGAGGTCGTCATAAATTCCAAACGTCTCGCGAGCAGGTCAGCCCCCAAAGAGCAGCATTTAAAAACATAAAGGTAAAGACGATATTTGTGAACGAGGGCTGGACGATTTCTGAAGTTTGTTAAAGGAGCTGAAACAAACTATTGCAATGCAGAATTAAAGCTAACAGAAGAAAAAGTAGCTAAAACATCAACTGAAGCTAAAAGCTACAACTAGCAGAAATAGCTAGTATCAAAGCCACAATTTACAAAACATCAAAACACAAGGTAAAGAAACCAGTAGCTAAATGTTACAACTTGTACGACAGCTAACAGCCAAAACCAGCTAAACAGCAGGAGCTAAGTTAGCTAAAAGTATCAAAACAGCAGCAAAAAGCTGAAATGATCAAGAAGCTTAAATTGGGGAAACATGTGGCAAAAATTAAAAAACTGCCAAAAAATAAAAAAGCCCAAAGTAACAAGTATTACTTTTTAACACTATATATATATAT